AGCCACGGTGCCTGCTCAGCAGCTGTGGCACGGTGCAGCGTTTGCTCGTGTTAAGTACATTGCCAATGCCAAAGAGTAGCAAAGTTACTGAAATGCAAAGGAGAGCCTGGGCACAGGGAAATGGGTGCAAATACGCTGAAACAGACACTAGACAGGAGCTGAGCAGACTGCAGTGTCACTCCTGAGCTCTGCGCTAGCAACTCCCCCTCTCCAGCTGACGGCTTGCGGCATTAGTACTGGGCTAGAACCACGGCTCTGTGCTCTCTTGCGCTGGTAAGAAGTCGGTTATTGTTACGGGTCCTGTTCTCATGTCCGTTGTGTGTGGGCCCACAGCTGTCCTCCCCCCCTGGCCTCTGAATTGCCGTGGCTTGCTGAAACGAAGCAGAGACTTTACTTGCCTTTTCCTCTTGGGAGACACCCGCGCCTCCTCCAGCGTCCGATTCTTTGGGCTGCATTTCCAGAACTGTCCGAAAAAGCCCGTCCGAAGTGACCGTCAGGAAGCCGATTTCCGCGCTGGGGTGGAGGCCGTACAGGTAGGGGCTCTCGGGGGGCAGGTTGTCGTCGATGTACTCGTGGTAGCCCTAAGCGCAGGGCAGGCGCGGGCGTCGGTTTAGCAGGCACGCACAAAGGCGCCCGAGTGTCACTTCAGCCTTGAGAATACGGCAGCGCGCTTTGGTTTGGTGCTGCTGCTTCAAAGCGAGCTGGCACTGCTTGTTCAGGATGGATTTTTACACACATCTTACCTAAGTTTTTCCCTTACCAGCCCGGCCACTAGAATTGTTCTTGCAGTGATTCTGCATGTTTCCATGGGACCAAAGCTTTTTTTTCCCCTGCATTCCCCCTTGGTTAGCATGAGGGAACTCTGACTCGTGCGCATTTATCCAGAGCAGTGGTTTGCCACAGCAAAGGGCAAGGTTAATCTTTCTCACCTTGTAATCCAAGCTGGGAGGGATCACAAACCCCGGAGCTAAGCACGCTTCCCCTGCCAGCATCTCCTCGCGGACGTATTCGCTCAGGTAGGTGCGACACAGCCGGCGGTCCCAGTCGTCTGTGATGTGCCCCCCGTACATGATTTCACCGAAGAGGTACCGGAGGTCGTCCCAGGGTACCTGCGAGGAGAGGCTCCGCGTGGGCTCTCTGCGTGGCTCCCCAGAAGTCCCCTGCAGCCCGGGGAAGCGGCACGTGACTGCAGAGCTGCGGGGCCATGGAGCGATGGCTGCTGGGTTGTCCTGTCCGGTGTCCAGGGGAGCGACAGACCCCAGAGCTGCGGAGGCTTGGTGGCGGAGCAAGGCAGGGGACCTTGTCTCAGGCATCTCTTGTGTTCACCCACAGACTTCGCCTTGTCCTGGTACGGACACAGCCGTCCATCCTTTGAACCCCCGCCGTCCGCTCTTCGTTCAGGTCAGCGCTGACCGTGCCTGTGAGGCCAGGGGAAAGCAGGACTCTCCGAAGGGTGAGACTCCGTCCTGCTCGCTGCACCTTCACTCTCGGGGCAGGCCGTGCTTTTTAGGTGGAAAGTGCTTTAAACAAAAAACCCAACAGAGCGCCGAGGCGCTCGTCCCAGCCTGGTGCTGGACGCCCGCTCTCCACCCCGCGCAGTCGCGCCGAGGGCTCTGCACCTTCACCGGCCCGAGCGTGCAGGAGGAGGGGAGGAGCTGCCGGCAGCGCGGCGCTTCCTCGAGAGAAGGCGGGTGCGCAGCAAACGGGTGCGTTTTTTTAAAAAAGGTTGATTGTTGTCGTGTGTGTTGTGCTGAGGTACGGTCACTTCGTACGGCCCTCACCTTGGGGCTGGCCTCCAGGCAGTTGCGCAGGACGTTGATGGATGTGGCCAGGTCACCGCTGTTGAAGGGGTAAGATCTGTTCCAGCCCTGAGGGCCAAACTTGCGCCGCTCGGCCACCACTGCGTGGAACTAACAGAGTGCAAACAGGACGCATTTGAACTGGGTTTCTTTGCTGCACATCCCTAGCGTGTCCTGCAGTGGGGACAAAAGCGAGAGTGGGTTTGCAAGTGAACGAGTGAATATCGCGATCAGCCATCCCTCCATTGAAAATGAACGGGTGCTGGCAGGGGAGAACGGAGGGCTGTTTATTAAAAGAAAGAAAAAAGCATAGAAGTATCTTTGTTTATAAAAAAAATTCAGAATCCCCACACACATACACACGCTCACACCGCTGATACGTGAGGCTGCGTGCTGGGGGCACTGACCCACAGCAGCCCGGCCTTCAGCCCTGGGAAAGGCACCAGTAACCCGGCACCCTCCGTGGTTCGGGAACCCTCGGGCAGCACCAGTTGCCCCCCACATCGCGTCCCGATACACGGGGGCTCTGGGCACCCCGAGGAGGACAGGCCGGGGGCTGGGCTGGCTCCCGGCGCAGAACGCGTGTCTGCAGTGATGCGCCCG